CTCTCGGAGCCCCCTCAGGACCCACCCGCCATCATCAGTCAAACACCGATGGAAAATCAATGATTTGTGCCTTCCCTATGTTTCGCTTCCAATGCGCTGTTGAAGCCTCAAGCTGGCCCCAAGATGGCCCAAGAGAGGTCCCAGACGGCCCCAAGAGCGCCCAAGAGCGACCCCAAGAGCGTCCCAAGAGCGTCCCAAGAGCGCCCCCAAGAGGGCCCCAACTGATTATTTTTATGGCAGCAGAAAGGGGGGGGGAACATTTGGGATCACCTCCATTTCGGTCGATGGCCTCGAAGATGGCCCCAAGAGGCCCACCAAGGCTCCCAAGGGATCCCCAAGAGGGCTCGAAGAGGGCCCAAAGAGGGCCCCAAGACCGCCCAAAAGCGCCTCAAGGGGACCCCCGGATCCCCCAAAAGAGTCCCAAGAGGGCTCCAAGATGCGAGTTTGTGGGCTTTGTGCTCGTCCTCGTTTTCCTCGTGCTCCTCCTCCTCCTCCTCCTCCTCCTCCTCCTCCTGCTCCTCGTCTTTGCCAGGGCCCTCATCGTCTTCCTTTCCTACACCTCCTATTCCTCGTCGTCGTTGTCGTCGTCGTCGTCGTCCACTCCTTTTCCTTCTAAGAGTGGGGGGGCCGAACGGTCATTCACTGTCCCTGGGCGCGTGGCTGAAGTGGGACTCCGCAGCGCGGATTCTGCTTGTTGTCGTTGCGTTGCGTTGTTGTCGTTGTCGTTGTCCCCCCCGCGACCCGGCCCGCGACCCACCCAGCGACCCACCCGCGACCCACCCGCGACACACCCGCAACCCTTCCGCGTCCCACCCTGCGACCAACACGCGACCCACCCAGCGACCCGCCCGAGACGCACCCGCGACCCACCCGCGACCTGGTCCGCGACCAACCCGCGACCTGCCCTCATTGCTTGAATGGAACCATCGGCGCCTGTGACGGGCTCGTTGTATAATTTGTGAAAATTGGGCGCCTACGGCGGGCTTCTTCAGAGTCTCGCAGACTGCCGGCGTCGTCGCCGCCCGCTCACTTATCCGAAACTGGGGGGTGCTACGTCAATAACTCCTCCCTGTCGCACCCCGAGGCGTGTCGGTAGGTCGGGCCGGGAGCTTCACCTGAGATTGTGTTCGTCATTTCCGATCCGTCAGCTGAAAATCCCACCAGCCCTCTGGGCGTAGTAGGTGGTTTGACTTCCCTCTGCTGGAATCCCTCCGTCCTCTGCTCGGGGCAGGGTTTACCCCTCCCCCACACCCCCTCCCCTGGGCTTATGTGTGTGCGTGCCGCTCTGAGCGGGCCCGGCTTCCTCTCCCTCCCGCCGCCGCTGGGCGCCTCCTCCCTCCCTCCTCCTCCTGCATGGTGGCTAACTTCGCGCTTCGTACAACCTACTAACGCCTCACCGCCAGCGCAGTCACCCTGCCTAGCCGCCGACGCAAAAAGTGTGTGTGCGCAAGTATGTGTGTGTGTGTGTGCGCGCAAGTATATATATATATATATATATATATATATATATATATGTGTGTGTCAGAGGGTGCTTTTTGGTCCACGATGGCTCCCAAAGGGCCTCCGCGAATCCAAGATGGTATCACAAATGGGTCAAGATACCTCAAGATGGCTCAAGATAGCCTCCGACGCACATCCAAGAGGCCTCAAGATGGCCCGAAGACGGTGTCCAATGCCCTCCGAGCCCTCCGAGGACCCCCACCCCTGGGAGGCCAAGCTGGCTCTGAGAACTGGGGGAAATCGATGCCGTTTGCCTTCTCGCATTTTCGCTTCGGATGGTTTTTTGAAGCCTCAAGCTGGCCCGAATACGGCCCAAGAAAGGCCAAAGAGGGCCTCAAGAAGACCCAAAGAGCGCCCAAGAACGATCTAAGAGCGGCCCATGAGAGCCCCAAAACGCCAATTTGGAGCCTCTGGAGGAGAAGGAATGATACAACCCTCTCTTTTTGATCCATGGGGCCCAACAGGCCTCGCAGACCCCTCCAGTGAGCCCCAAGAGGGCCCCGAGACCCCCAAAACAAGCCCCAAGAGGGCCCCAAGAGTGCCCCGAGAGGGGGACCCCAAGAGAGCCCATAAGATGGCCTCACTCGTCCTTCAAAAACCGCTCACAACAATACAGGACCAAAGCCCGACTTCTCATCTTCCTTGTCATCGTCCGCTCCTTCCCTCCTCCTTTTCTGTATCATCCCTCTTCCTCATCCCCCTCATCTTCCTCGTGCCGCATTCCTCCTCCTCTTGGTCCCCCTCCTCATCCTTCTCTCTGTTTCCTCATGCTCCTCCTCTTCCTCTTCCTCCTCCTACTCCCAAGATGGTCCAAGGAGGTCGAGCATGGCTCACGAGAGCCTTCGACAGACGTCCAAGAGGCCTCGAGACAGCCTCAATATGGCCCAAGATAGCTGAACATGGCTCACAATAGCCTCCGACAGCCTCGAGCCGAGATGGCTCCCGCTTTAGCGCCGCGCACATTCGTCTTAAACAGATGCAAGAGCTTCACGAATGGAGGGCGCTTCATTTTCAAACGGTGGCTCTCGCCTGAGCGCCGCGCAGCAATTTCGAGGGCTCTCATGGCTACCGTCCCAGAGCTGGTGTTCTGGAACGATGTCGGATTGTCAGGGCGGTAACGTTGATTCGTGTTGTTGAAGTTTCCTCCTCCTCCTCCTCCTCCTCCTCCTCCTCCTCCTCCTCAGGAGTGGTGCTATGGCACGAGTCTGGACCGTCAAGACGCAGCAGTAACAGTGATTCGCGACGTTGCAGTCCCAGGAACGGTGCTCTCGCACAGCTCAACATCTTCCAACGGCTGTCTTCCAACGGGGCACTTCCCTCAGTGACAATAAATCCTTGTAGAGGCCTCAGAAGAGCGAACTTGGATGGATGGTTCATTACAATATCGTTGACGAATCTTGGGTTCACACTGGTCCTCCTCCTCCTCCTTCCCTCGCCCCCACGCGGGCCCCAGGGATGGCCCGAAGACGCCCTCCAAGGCCATCCCCTTGCTCTCAGAAGTCTCTCTGTTCATCCTGGTTGCCCGCTTTGCTTCATTACACGTGTCACGTGTCCATTCGTCCCTTTTCCCGTCAACTCTCGTAGGCAAGGTTTGCGAATGGGCTGGTGGGGATACGCGCTTGAAGAATTCACGTTAAGATATGAAAAGACACCAGGCAACACCAGAATTCACTGCAAATCCGAGGCCGACGGCATTTTTCTTTTGATGGCCCCAGAGCCTGGCCAGGGCCCCCAGAGGCCGAAAACTGTCAGAAACCTTCCAGCGGAACGCTATCCAGGACCCCGAGGGGTCTCGGCCCCCCCGCCTCAAGCGTATTGCACCCCTCCTGGCGGCCACGACCCCGCCGTGACGACGAGGAGCTCCCCGGGAGGTCGACAAAAACATAGCAATAGGAGCTCGACCATAAGAAACCTTCCACAGGAAACCCAACCCTGAGACCCCGGGACGTCCATTGCTTTCTGCATTTGCCTTGGGAACGTCACGCTGCTCCTAGCAGAACCATCGACCCCCAAGAAACCCAAGGCACCCTGGAGGCAAGCAGGGCGTCTCTTGGCATGGGCTCCCACTGTATAGAACACCCCGAACTTCGGAGGTCAGGGCGAATTTGAACGGGCCCTGGGACACACAAATGAATCGATACAGGTAACCCAACATTTCCCCAAATCTTCCAGGTTTTCGTCTTCCCCCCCCACTTCCCAGATTTTCCCGTATCTTTTCTGGGGCGTTGACGATTCATTGTGTCTGCGTGCTTCTCTCCCTCCCGAGAACTTCTTTGCGCAGAGCGCGCCAGGGCTGGCGGCGCTGCGGACGCCGCCCGGCGGGGCCCGGCGCCGCTCCGGGGGAGCCGCTTGGAGCTCCGACGGCCCCCGCGAGGGCCGCCCGCTCCCCCTCGAAAAGTTGAACGGCGACCCCGCCCTCCCCCGCCCCCACGGGTCTGAATCAGGGGAACGTAAGACCTGGGTACACCTTGCGAAATGCTTGAGAAATCATGGGTTAAGAAATTCATAGTCTCAGAACTTGAATAAAAAACCGAAATTTCTATTGAAATCTTAGGATTTACATTGAAACGTTAAGAATAATCGAGACTCTGGCCGAAAACTGAAGTTTTCTTAAGCATCGCCTAAGGTGTACAGGGGACTCGGAAATCCCCGACGAGGTCGTCAAAAAAATGAGGAGGCCGAGCCTGCATTTTGACGAGGCCTCCCGCTGCAGACATCCCACGAAACTCCTCCTCGTCAAAATTCGAGGCGCGGTCGTCAAAAAACGATGGCGAACCCGAGTCCCGGCAAACCCAGGTCTTACGCCCCCACGGGTCTGAAGGGGCCCCGGGACACACAAGGAAATGCACACAAAAATGAAAAGATTCCCCCTACTTCCCCGTATGTCCTGGGCTTCTGTCTTCCCCCCCACACTTCCCATCTGTTCCTATATGTTCTGGGGGATCGACGATGAATTGTGTCTGTGTGTTTTTTTCCTTCCTGATGGTTGGCGGGGCGCACGGGGGGGCAGGGGGAGGGGGAAGGCTTCTTAGAAGCACCCAAGCTTCGCAGAAGGCGCGGGCAATCTCTCAGATGCAGGGCCGGCACCTTCTGAGAGGCAGCCTCCTTCTAAGACGCCGTCCCCCCTCCACCTGCCCCTCTTAGACGAGCGCGTTCCAGTACCCGCAACGGAACTACTCGCAAATGGCCTGGATCCGCCGCGGGGAATCTACGATGCATCTCATCGAAGCAAACATGTTTTTCGGACGCTTGCGAGAAGGCACGTTTGCGAGTCGTGCAACGCGCTCGGTGACCCTTGTGCGCGCCGCCAAATTTAGAGGGAAAAGAACTATGCACATGCACCGATTCTGGCCAGGCCCATCCTGAGCCCAGGATCGGTGCATACGCCCTCCTACCTTGGCCAGGAAGGCATATGCACCGATCCTGGGTCAAAAATGGGCCTTGCCAGGATCGGTGCATGTGCATAGTTCTCTTCGCGCCGCCAAATTGGTCCCGCTCGC